CACACACACACACACACACACACACACACACACACACACACACAGTCTGTCGATACTGAGGGGTCAGGTAGCTGGAGGGGAAGGGAGAGATGGTGGACTAGAGGAAGAAGAAGAAGAAGAACTCTCTCTCTCTCTTTCTCTTGGTGCCCGGTACTAACCTGTGAAAGGTGGCGCCTTGCTGCAGGTACCTCGAAGACGAAGCTGGAGCGATGGCGTCACAGGTAAGCTCCCTGGCCTCTGCCACTCTCCTCCCACTCTAAGCGCCCAGCGCTGAAGACTACTCTTATGTACTACTACTACAGCGCTCCGCCGAGTGCTGCTGCCAAGTGCCCGAAGGCTGCCTCCTGAATTGCCTCCTCCCTCCCGGGCGGACCAGCGCTGGGAGGCTGCTCTTGCCAATGCCGAATCGTGCCAGACCCTGGCGCCCAAGTTAAAAAAAAAGGTCGTCTTGAAACGGGCCTAAAAATGGCCTGTGCTTATCCCTGGTCTGGGGCCTAAGTTTCAGGAAAGGTCGACTTTAAGAAGGCCTAACATTGGCCCTCCTTTTTAGGCTGAAACGACACAGGGCCTGGAGGGCCCTTACTTATCCCTTGTTACGCCTGGTCGGGCCCTGCAGGCCCGTGTGGTGCGCAGTATGCCACACCCCCCGCTCCTTGAAAGGTCGAGCTTACCTGCGAGGGCGAAGCTGCCTGTCAGAGGGAGGGACCAAAGTCCGGGTGGGAGGGGCAGGTTGTGACGCTTCCTTAGCTAGTCTTCGTCACTCGTAGTCGGCATGAATCAGTGGTGCGGATGCTTGCAAATCTGCTCGTGAAATCCACATTGTGTCGTCGCGGTTGCACCATTTGAATGAGACCTTGTATTGCATCGGCTTGTTGTCGTACTTGCGGTGTGTGACGACGCGATCGATCTCCTGATGACCATCCATGGAGGGAGGGTCCTGCGATCGCCGGTCCGGGAAGTCATTGTCCTTGGCTGGTGTGTATGTCGCCAGCTTCAAGGCGTCAAAGACTGGATGGACCGCCAGATGCGGAGGGATGTCGATCATAAAGGATGAGCCGTCGGGCTTGTCGCCTGCGGCTGAAAGGACGGTCCATCGTCCAAACCACTTGGGGAGTAGCTTGCGTGAAACATCCTGTTCAAGCGCAAACTCTTCCGCGGAGACCCAAACCAGATCACCGGCATGGATGGGGCATGGTACGTGACGCCTGTTGGCTTGCTGCTGCATGCGGACTTGAGCCTTGTGCATGTTCGCACAGGCTTGAGTCAGCAATTCCCTGTACTTTCGAACGGAGGTGGGAGAGCAAGCGGCGTCTATGTCGGTTGTTCGTGGGAGGAGAAGATCAGCGAAGATACGGCCTTTCCGACCACCGTGGTGCAACTCGAATGGAGTCACGCCGATCGCCGGATGCAACGAAGTGTTGTAGGCGAACTCGATGTCGGGTAGGCGGTCAACCCAATCCTTCTGATCCGGACTGATGAGCGTACGAAGCATCATGTGAGCAGTCTGCTGTGCTCTCTCCGTTTGCCCGTCTGTTTGTGGGTGCCGAGCCGAACTTGGTTTCATTTCGGAGCCGGACTCCTTCATGGAAGAAGTCCAAAATGCCGACATGAACTGAGTGTCGCGGTCGCTAACAATGTCTTCCGGTACGCCGTGGCTGCAAATCCAGCCGGTGTGCAAGAGGCGCGCAAGTTCGGGAGTCGTGGCGTAGTACTTGCAAGGGAGAGATCGCTCTTATTTACTCAATCGGTCAACGACGGTGAGGATGCCGTCGTGCCCGAGGAGGTCGCGGGGAAACAGGCCGATGACGTCCATAGCAATGGAGAGGTCGGGTTCCCATGGGATAGGCAACAGGCACAACTCGCCTTAGGGATTGCGGTTGCGGGGCTTGCTTCATCGGCAAACTTTGCAAGAGTCGCAATACCGAGTGACATCGGTGATGGCGTCGGGCCACCGGAATCGTTGCTGAAGTTGTGCGATAGTCTGATTGACTCCGAAATGGCCGGCGAGTCGCGAGTCGTGAGTCGTGGTACGCGCCAAGAAGGCGAGTTCGAAGACGACGGTCTCATGGGACGCATAGTAAGTCCTTGCCTCGCGAGTGGAGAAGCAAGTACCCGTCGACGATGCGATAATTGCTGGCCGGCGGGTGATCCGAAGATAGTTGTGCATATAGCGTGGCGAAATCCGGATCGGACTGGTAGCCCGAATGAAATGCCGATGGAGTTCCTCGTCGAATGCGAAGGCATGATGTGTCATAGCGCAAAGATCGGGTCTTCACGACAGTGCATCTGCTGCGCGATTGGAGAGGCCGGCGAGATGTTTCGGTGTGAAGTCGAATTGGTCGATGAAATACATCCATCGTCCAATAGTGCTGCTCACCGTATCTTACGTCTTGTAGTAGGTCAACGGGTTGTTATCAGTGACCCATGTGAACCTACAACGCCCAAGGAGGAAGTGTCGCCATCGCTTGAGAGCCATCACGAACGCGAGCGACTCCTTCTTCCTTGCATCATCAAGTGAGTTGATGGGAGGCACCTTGTGGCTGAAGTACTCCATGGAATGTCAGTCGCCGCCGTCGTGTTGTTCCAAGACTACCCCAATACCATAGTCGGAGACGTCGGTTGTCACTTTCGTTGGCAAGGTGGGGTCGTAGATGCTAAGGATGGGTGCCATGAGCATGGTCGTGTTGAGTGCTTGAAATGACTGGCGCGCTTCGTCATTGAATATGAATGGCACCTTTGGCGATTGTAGTCTCGTCAATGGTGCGGCAATCCGTGAGTACCCGGTGATGAAGCGTTGGTAGTAAGCCTGCCAACCTCATGAATGAGCGAACTTTCGTGGTGTTGGTGGGCTCGGGCCATACGCGGATGACCTCAATCTTGTCCGCGAGCGGACGGATGCCTTGCGGCGCCACATAATGACCCAAGTATTCAAGCTTTTACCGCGCGAATTCACATTTGTGGCGGTTGGCTTTGTACTTGGCTTGTCGTAGCCGCTCCAAAACGGTGTGCAAGTGCTCCACCTGCTCGTCCAAATTCCGGTTGTACACTAAGATATTGTCGAGGTAGATGAGTACAAATTTGTCTAGCATGTGTCGGAACTTCGTCGTCATAGCCGCTTGGAATGTGGTCGGGGCATTCGTAAGGCCGAAAGGCATAACCAGCCATTCGAAATACCCATATCGCGTTTTGAACGCGGTCTTATAACGGTCCTCCCATCCGGATCTCGAGTTGGTGATATCTCAATTTGAGGTCAAGCTTGGAGAAAAATTTTGCGTCGCCCAGCCATTCGAGGAGGTCGTCGATGTGCGGAAGACGGACGGCGTTCTTGACGGTTTGCATGTTGAGCTTGTGATAATCGATGCACAACCGCAAGTCTTTGTTCTTCTTTGGGACGAAGAGAACGGGAGCGCCGTATGGCGAAGAGCTACAGTCTTCCCCGGAACAAAACGCACGTATGTACTATTCAACTTTCCCTAGAAAACTCTGTTTTTCGAAGTAGCTCCCGAAAATCCGAATAGTACGCGCATTCACATAGTACGCACACGTTTACTATTTGAAAAGTATGACTCTCTCTCTCTCTCTCTCTCTCTCTCTCTCTCTCTCTCTCTCTCTCTCTCTCTCTCTCTCTCTCTCTCTCTCTCTC